TTCGAAGCCAACCTGCTCGCCATACCCAGCCAGTTTCTCTACGCTACCCAACTCCTCGCCGTCACCTGGCTATCCGAGAAGTTCAAAGAACGCTCCATGATATCCAGTCTATCCAACATTTGGATCTTCCCCTGGCTCGTCGCTCTTGTCGTTCTGCCCGCAGACGCAAACCCCTGGGTCAGGTACGCGCTCCTCACAGGTCTGCTGTCCTATCCGTACTGCCACGCAATCCTCGTGAGTTGGAACGCGAAGAACTCGAATTCCGTCCGTACACGCGCTGTCTCTGCGGCTTTCTACAACATGTTTGTGCAGTCTGGCAATATTATTGCTACTAATATTTATCGCGATGATGATCAGCCGTTGTACCGCAGGGGCAACAGGATACTGCTGGGTATCTGTGTGTATAACGTTTTCTTGTTCTATGCGGTAAAGGCGTTTTACATTTGGAGGAATCGTGTAAGAGATGGGCAATGGAAAGCTATGACCAAGGAAGAGCAGGAGGATTATATTTTCAACACGAAGGATGAGGGGATGAAGAGGCTGGACTTCAGGTTTTCCCACTGATGAGAAAGCGCATGGATTGATGTTGATACCAGCGCCCGGTTCCGTTCACTCAGCGTCCATGGCTTCCCCGTTGTCTTTGCGCCTTGGTCACGACGAATTGCGATTGGTTGATGGCTTATAACGTGGCCGGCGCAAATGGCGCCCGATAGCAAACAAATCTGACGGAAATTACTAATATTCAGTCTACGTAGGCCTTCCTAGGTGACCGCGTACAGACCGCCAGTGTGGATCATCTTGGCTTGGCGCAAACACTTTACTCATGAGCATAATAAATGTCTTCGTGACCGAGTCCGCCGACACTCCTACACCTCACACTTCCGATTCTAAATCTAAGATGTCTTTCTCTTCTACACCCAGATTTGGTAGCGCCTCCCAAGATATCTACAATAGCCCTCACTACTTTGGTGCCGGCAGTGGCAGTGGCAGTGGCAGCGGCAGGGGCAGCGGTAACCAAAGCACGGTCTTCAATCCGCCTCAGTCCCCTGCTCCAGCCGCGACAACTATCAACACTTCGGTCGCTCCGAGTGTGAGGCAGCGTCTCATCGAACTCCTCCATCCGTTCCGGGGCGACTTCATCAACTTCGTCGCTACTGAAGCCACACTTCATGAAAGGAAGGTCCTCACTCTCGCCGGTAAGTGTATTTCTTGACCTTCTCTCACCTGAATTACTCTTCTCCTTGCCTGAATGCAAACATTTCTTACTACAAATAACTAACAATTCTATCAGGGAACCTCGCTGCGATCATCCACCACAAGGAGGCTCAATACGGCGAAGAGATCAATGCGAACCATGTCCACGTCTTGAGTCGCAATCTTCAAGCCCTCAACGGTCAGGCGTGCATCAGTATCATCGTTCAGGCAGGTGGCGTGGCACATCAGGTCGTCAGTGTCGAGGTTGAGAACAGAGACACTACCATTGATGCGCTCACCACCAAGGTGGATAACATGATCGGAACTTTGTTCTTGGGAGCTTAGGCAGCGGATAGGGCAAGAGTGGTGATAGAGGATATAACAGGAAGCGACGTTGGCTTATACAGACGATAGGCTGGGGGAATAAGCAGACTTAGTGAGAAGGCAACAGGGAAAATTTACTTGCTCAAGTCACCACTGTACACAACTTGGTTTTCACGGTTTTAATCGTTCGTGAGGGCCTTACAATCGTACGCTGTACCCGGTGTACAACGTGGGCCTGAAGAATAACATTCCGTACTTGACGCTGTACCTAGGGTATAGCTTTGGTTTGAAGTACAATAGAGCTCAGGTATGGTAGAAATGACTTCCTTGTCTGCCCTGGAAGCGACGTTCCAGCTTCTCAACTCCTTTGAGCAGGTAACGCGCCCTTGTCATCTCCTTCTGTCTATCTTCGTATGCGGAGTACCCTGTCACCACACCTCTAAGGTTACCTTTGACGATGTGAAGGCGTTTCTCTTGAGCCCTTATGAGGCAGTATCTGAACTCAAAAGCCTCTTTTGCCGACGACCACAGCTCTGGGTGGAGTTCGCGGTTCTACCGTCGTTCAGCGAGCCACTTATCTGCCTCTGCCCAGACCTGCTTTGTCGCGTCTGGCACAGTGGAGTTATTCGAGGACTTGACACCGGCACATATGGCGTCCCATAGTGAGAAAGCGGACTTGAGATCGCCAGCGAGGTTAAGTGATTGCGGGAAGTAGCGTTCTGATGCGGTTTGAATAACGCGTGACTTGGTCGTTGGTGAGGTCGGATCGGCATCGCCAGTGAGAAGCTCATCGAGGTACGACTTGGCTGCTATGCTAAGCGCACAGTTGTTGGGAAGAAGGAACGGAAGCCTAGAGAGCGTTAGTTTATCAGACTCGAGTCATTGTGATTCGGGACGACTAACTTCATCGCAATGACTGGTATATCAGCATGTCTCGTGCAGCAACCAGTACAGAACATTTGTGTGGCGGCCACCTCGATGATATCTCGAAGTGACTGACGGACTTTGTTGATGATGGAGTTGTAACCGAGCAAATGTTGACTGAGAGGTCCGGTGAAACCGATCGGACGATGGTGCAAAGTACCTAAGCCAGCAACACGAGACACTAGCATATTGTACTCCTTGTCGTTCGCTAGGCGGCTGTCAGCTATGCAGGACTTGGTCAAGGGCTTCCCACTTACTGCTACCACGCATTGGTGCGCCGTTGTACATAGAAAACATATCGATGTCGGAGTTCAAGAGGCCCAGGCGTATCAGCTCGACTGCGATCACCGCAGCTTCTTCGTGCTCTGGCTTGCCCTTTAGGCCAGCGATGATAGATACAAGGACTTTACCCCATTGTGTCAGATTATGGCTCTTGGGGTCAATGTACTCCCGCAGAGCGAGGAAGCGCCATATCGAGTTGTACAGTATTTCGGAAGTGGAAGAAAGGGGATTCTTAGGATCTTTCTTAGTGACCGATTTGGTGACGAAGTCGGAGTTTTGCAGTGATAAGATGGCTGCACCGAGAGTTCCACAGTCCTATCAGAGTGTTAGTATTGGCCCGTCAATTCGGTTGCGGCTTTGCTAACCTTGTACTGTCCGACAACATCCCTGAATGTAGCTTCCTTCACGTTCCAAGTGTCAACGAGCGAAGGGGCTATGGCTTCTGATGGCTTTTCGACAGGGATGGTTGTCGATGTGCGTTTCCCATTGGGTTCTACAGGAGAATACCAATGCGTCTGGTGCAGAGACTGGTGCCGATACCAATTATGTAAGGTACTAGACAAAAGGTTGACAGCGGGTGTTCGAAGTGGGATCAGCTTAGAGCTGACGAGGTCCCTGTATTCTGGAGACAAGCCACCATCCATGGGAGGGACTTCGAAGACCTCGCAGGTAGTGCGCCACTGGATGATGTGTGGGCTGATGAGACCTTTCGACATGTAGTGGAGAATTTCATCTGGGAGCCTTTGACCCAGATACTGTCCCGCATCGTTAGGCATCGAGCCAGAGTTTTGGGGCTCGACTTTCCCTTCCTCTGTGTAGACAGGGTGATTCTTGACGGCCAGACGTGCTTTCTGGTATCGCGTGACGTATTCCTTGCCCGCGGGCGGGACATCATTGTTGTTGACAACCACAGAGTATCCAGACTGACCGTTGTTCATGATGGTCTTAATAGCACTGTGCGGTTTGATCAGTTCTGCCCTGTTAGGCGCGTCGAGGATCGGGTGGGTCGGGAGGAAGGGCGTGCCGGCCAGTATGCAGGTGTCGAGGAAGATATCATCTGAGATGTTGGGAGCGTTGACAAACTTCGAAAGGTCGGCTACGCATTTCTCTCGGCGGACGAAGCTGAAATGTCGGGCCTCGAAGTCCCAAGATGTTATGATTTTGGAGCATTCGAAGATGAGGATATCTGACGAGCCGTAGACGGCGTGGACGTATTCGTGTTTCTCGAGATATGCCAACTGTCGATAATTAGTCACTGCGAACAGAGATTCCAGAGATGCTTGCCTGGGCCCAGGCGCTGTATGGCGCGACTGTCCAACGAATGTTGCGCTCGGTCAGGGTTGACTGTAGGGCGCGGAAGAGGTCCTCGGGCGTGACGTATGCTGTGAAGAGTCAGCACGATACACAGTCTCATCTTGACGGCGGCCATACTTGACTGTCCGAACTTAGCGACAGAGGCTTCCGCCTCGTGACTGTCGTACAGAGTCCACGCATTGATGTTTACCGATGCCTCGGTCTCCTTTTGCCTGAAAGGATCATCGTGTTTTGTAATATCCAGCCCGCTGAAGACGAAGACGGGTTCGATGTCGAAGCTGCGGAATTGGGCCAGATCGTCCTCAATGTGTTGTGTCAGGGCCAGCGGAAGGCCTCCCAGCGCAGGTACAAGCGGCTCCTTTGCGCGCGGGTGATTGAGGATCCGCTGGTTCAGGTATTCGGCGGCTTCGATGCCTACGCGGCAATTGCGCAATTGTTCGAGCTCGCCCGTTTCGCCCAGTGTGGCCGTCCATTGTACGAAGTCGCGGATCATGGTGCCAGTCGCGTGGTGGGGCTGTTTGAAAGTAATGGGAATGAGGGATTGATAATGAACGGAGACGATGGCAGTAAAGTCTCGAGTAATACTAAGAGATTCACCTGGCGTGATTACTGTATGTAGCGACGACGTGTGGTAAAGTTGTAGATGGTTGCGGGGGTGTGGACAGTAAATTGGAAGCTCCGATGCAGCTCCACGCCTTGGCAACTACACGATCCCTGATCAGCCGGGCGCTAGCTCAGGTACAGCGTCTAGCCGTACGAGGGAACGCAATCGCGCCGAGTAGAGGGATGAATGACGGGTAGGCGCAGAATTGAGGTGATCTGCTTCCGTAAAAAAAACACCCCAATTCGAACGTGGCTTCTCTGTTGCTTTCTTAGTGCCTAATCGCGTCTCACGTCTCACCTCTGCCCCTCACCTAGCGTTACTCCAGGCTTTCACGCGTCACATCTCACTCTCTCTCCAAATGGCTAGTTCAGGACACCACTCGGAAGCCATACCGGTTATTGATATCTCAAGCCCCTCCGAAGACGTCGCTCGGCAAGTGTTGGACGCGGCTTCCACACATGGCTTCCTCTACATTAAGAACGATGGTGTGACCATCCCACCCCAGGACATCGATGACATGTTCAAGTTGGTATGATGTGTCGATTGTCCGAAACTAAACTTGTTGGTTGATGAAAACAGTCTAAGGAGTTTTTTGCCGCTCCCAAAGAGCAGAAATCGGAATACGCAATCCACTCTGAGAAAGCAGGGGGCATAAACCGCGGGTGGGTACAGATGCAAGGCGAATCTCTGGATCCTGAAGGTCAAAAGGTGATTATCAACAAAACAAATAATGAGACGACCTGTTGACGAAATGAATGATAGCAAGGCGATCCGAAGGAAGCATTCAACATCGGGCCCCCAAACCCAAACCTCCAACCCCTACCTTCACCTCTCCAGGACTCTTCCAAGTTGATTACCCGCTTCCAACATTCCTGTCACACCCTCTGCACCCAAATCCTCTCTCTGCTCAACACCGCCCTCCAAATTCCCGACCCCAAGTACTTCAGCACGCGACACGACCAATCTCTCGGCCCATCCGGCACCATCTTCCGCATGCTCTACTACCCATCCACCCTCTCCCAAGGAAAAGGTTCCAAGCAAGGCGAAACCAGTATCCGTGCAGGTGCACACTCGGACTACGGTAGTCTAACTCTCTTGTTCCGTCTTCCGGGCCAGCCCGGCCTTGAACTGTCTACGCCTTCAGGGTGGAAGGCAGTGCCGGTGAGCCCATCGCCATCGTCATCGCCTCCAATCCTGGTCAACATAGGAGATTTACTGTGTTATTGGACCAATGGTATGCTGAAATCGACAGTACACCGTGTTACTTTCGAGGGTGGACAGGAGAGATACAGTATGGCGTACTTCTGCCACCCGCTGGATGAAGCAAGGTTAGACGCTGTACCTAGTCCCGTGATAGAGCAGTTTGGCAACAAGGGCGAGGAAGAGTTGAGGAGTCAGAGGAAGAGATTGGGGTTGAGAGAAGACGGGCTTGGAGAGGAAGTGATAACAGCCAAAGGGCATTTGGAGAGACGACTGAAAGTGACGTATGGGATTTGATAAGAATCAGATCCAATTGGCAAAAGGCATTACTATCAAACGCCTGCGCTATGCTCCCTCGTTTACTTCAAAGAACACCTCGCTATGCTTTGCGCCCTGTAATGCAGACAGTTCCAAAATAACTCCCTCCACATACACCACTTACATCATGTACAGAGAGTCTTCTTCACCCTCGCCTCTTCCTACCCGCCCTTCCCGTAGTAGTCCCTCCAACGTCCTTCACGACGCCAATTCCTTCAACTGCCACGCTCTTCTCCTGCATAGTCCCACCTAGCTTCTTGATCATCTGCTCCCTCGCTTTCGCAGCACCAGGAGAATCCCAACCTAGCTCCTGGCTAGGCTGGTATTCCTCCACCAGCACCGTGTTCTCCTCTTCTTCCTCTTCTCCAGCCAGAATGTTCCCGGAGCTATCACCCGCTGACGCGTTCGACCGCGTGGACGTTGCGCGACCAAGCTGCCGCCTCTTCCGCGTCTTGCCAGGTGCCTGATCGACAGACGTTGGCACGGTCTTGCGGTTTGCGCGCATCTGAGCTAAGATGGAAGAGTAATCCTTTTCTTCTTCCGGTCCTTTTGCCTTTATTGTTTCCTTTTCTTTTGGTGCTTCCTGTGGTACCGACTCGGTATCCGCCGGGATCACGGAGTCGGGTTCAGGAACAGGAACGACCGGATCTGGGATCTGACCAGCCTTGGACTTGCGGGGTGCCGGGGCTATGAGAGACTCGGCCGACGAACTCCTGGGTCGTGAGAATGATTTTGAGGCATGCGGGGACGTTGATGGGCGGCGCGGGGAGTTGGCGCTGGTTTCTTGGAGGGGGTGGGAACCTGCGCCATCCAATCCAGGTATGACAGACTCATCATCATCGTAATTCAGGCCGTTAGTATCATTGTTGGAAGTATCCGCCTCATCTGTAGTTGATGCAGGCGTTGCATCTGCTGGTGCAGTGAGAGCAAGAGTACCACGCTGCTGTGGGTGCAGAGACGTTTTCACGGCATTGGTAGGCTGTTGCTTTTTCTGACGAAGCTCAAGGCTCTCTTCCGTGGACAACAGTGCAGTGGGCACATCATCTTGTGGTTGAGGCCTCTGTTTAGGCTTCTGTGGCTGAGGCGGCGCTGGCTTGTTCAATTGATACTCGGCATACGACTGTAGCCGACCACTACGCAGACAATCCCAAAGCCATGCGGCATGAACAGCGGGTATCCGTTTGTCCGTGGCGAATTTGAGTTTCGGTGTGTTTATGGTAGGAGGGTTGCAGATCACAACCGAGGTCTTCGCCGATAGCTGTTCATCGTACGAGGCACCTGTCAAAATTGTCAGACGATTTCAATGGAGGCGGAGCTGATCCCGTACCCATAAGCGTGACAACTTTGGTCACATGCAGTAACTCGATGCCGGAAAAGCCCGTAGAGTTGATGGTGAGTCCAGAGAACCCTGGCTACGTCAGCGACCAATAAAACAACCGTGGAGCACGAGCTTACCGCTGATACTAAGCTTTTCGAATGGTCGACTTAACACATCGTCCGACGGATCTACTAGACGTTTGCCATACAGGCAGCGCTCGACCCACCAATTAGTGGCCAGGTTCATGTGTTCTCCGGCACGCCCCGGAAGTGCCGCCGAATCGACCTCGACGTCATGTGGTATTACGAAGTAGCCTCGTCTTAGATCGTCGGATGGCGCATTGTTGAGATCGGTCGCATGGATTACGTGCGCGCCGTTGCTCTCGAGGTGTTGGCGCAAAATGCTTGTCTAGCGGGAACGTCAGCTAGGGCTGAAATGTAAGATGGTATGACAAACCTTCTCTGCATCAAAGCCATGCGTGCATACGAGTCGTCCTTGAAAGATGCCATCATGTTGGGACACATCGTTCGTATGTGGTGGCAATGATGGTTCATGACTGTCTGCATTGTCATCAAGGTGCGCCTCGATAAGCGAATCATTCTCATGGACGGATGCATGTCTGTGAGGGGACGCTGGGGTATGTGTGCGAGTGCTTGTCCGCGTACTATCTGGCTTAGTAACGATTTCCTCTGTCCATTCATCCTCATCAATCGGTCGTTCGAAACTGGGCGCTGTGATGCCCGCCCAAAAGGCATCACTTTGGCTGCCAACCTTGGTACTTGCTGAGCGACGTAGCTTCCTGCGGAAAGGATTCAGTGCCTGACTCGGCTCTGCATCTCGTGTGCGCTTGCCTATGGCGGGCGACGCGGGCATTTTGCGATCCCAAGCACCTTGGCCGCGCTCTTCGACAGGCATGGTGGGGTTGTAGAGGGCTTCGTCCAGCACCATGCCCCTCTCCAGACTTTGTTCGAGCCACTCCAGCGACACAATCTTCATCCTCCAATTCAGGGCGTGTTCGTACTTTTTGCCCGATGGCGCCGCTGCGATGAGGTGGGTGACGGACTTGGTGAGGTCGCCGTGGTACTCGGCTCCGTTGGCGTCCACTGACTCCTGAATGGTCTTGCGTTGATCGGCTGTAGTAGTCAGTATCGTCGTGTGCATTTAGAGCTCGCGACGTACGGTTGTCGAAGCCGGTAAGGCATATCTTCAGCCCAGCAAGCGTCGGCATGCGGTACTCCTTTTCCAGCGCGGCCATGTCCAGGTCGTCATCGCCGGTCATCCACACCTCCCTCAAGGCTTCGAGCCACTCCGGAGAGAGGACCTTGACGTCCTCGCGAGACTTGGCGACATAGCGGTATTTGGCGCTGTCGGTGCTGCCGACGATGAGGTGGGTTACGTCTGATGTGAGGTCGAGCTTGATGGTCGCGCCCATCTGCGCGCCAATCGCTGCGAGTTTGGCCTATATGGTCATTAGACACAGCGAGATATCAGCATCTGGAGTAGACGTACGCGCTGCTCGGGGGCAATAGAGGTGCAACAGAGGATGGCCCCAGCCAGGGGCAATTGGCCTGCTCCTGCATCATGTGAGCATGTGTATGATAATCATGATACCCTATGTCCTACCATAGCCTCCATCATGCGCGTCCATTACTTGCAAAGTCGCGGTGTCGTGTGCTTACGCCGAGCGAAAGCGCGTCTGAGCTAAGCCCTGCCCTTCGCCAGACGCGTTGCGGGGAAGCCAGCGTGGTCACGTGGTGCCGCCTCACGCTCGCCATTCCTTCCGCACTGCCCGCCTTGCCGTGTCCGCTCCTCAACCCTCCCCCAGATGCGCCGAATCTCGCACATGCCACGAAAAAAAAAGCTTTCCACCCCACTGCCGAGGATCCACCGCAGCCAGAATGACGACTGCTTCGTTCCTGGCCTCGAACTTGAGGGCGGCTGAGTTGGCAGCCCGCCCTGTTCTTTGCGCCGATCTGCCCACTCACGTTTGCTGTAACTCCAGATTCAGAACCCCAGGCGCTGATCACTACGCGATTGGGCCGTCAGGTTTCTTTTCGGCGATCGTGGGAGGTGACGCCCTGTTTATGTGGTTGTTCTGATGCACCATGGCACAAGATGCCCGGGCATGATCTATCATCTGTTCGATAGTTCCAAAACAAGGAAGACGAACTCTCCGCCCATGCGCTGGCGGAGCATCGCTTGGTCTGTCGCGAGATTGCGCGTTGCCCATGCCCAGCGTGGCTCTGCCATCTTGGAGTCTAAGCGACGCCATATCCTGTCAGCTATAATAGTTGTAATCAGCGTGCCTGTCGGGGCTTTGCCATCCGTGCGTGCTAATCGCAGGATGAAGCATGCCTTGTCGTCGTCGATCAAGGTAACGTGCCGGGTATGCCGTAGTCGGTCGCTAGCCGCCAACGGGTCTAGAAGCAGCCTGAGCAGATGCCCATTGAGATCTGACCCCTGCATCGAGTCTTGCAGACTCTTGGTGCTCAGCATGATGTAATGCATCCGAGCCTCCGTCCGCGCAAGCTACTGCTGCGCTGCCATGCCGCTCCTAGTAACGCCTAGCACGCTCATATACCCGCTGCGGGAATATCCTGCCCTGACGCGCTGCTTGCACGCCCTCACGACCATTCCTTACCCCATCCGGGTACCCACTGATATACCTCTGCTAGAGCAGTAGCAGCCCATCTCAAATTCATCATCCTAGCTGCTGCGACCCCGCCGACCAGCAGCGCTGCACACCGTCCACCGTCCGCGTCATCCGTCTGTTCCCTGCAAACTCGACGCTCGCACTCGACGCCGGTACACTTTCGCCGTCCCTGCACTGCCCTAGTCTGACATGCTCGCGTCCTCGTAACATGCCTGCGACCTGGCTAGCTGCAACTCACTTCAAAACACCCGCGAGTTCCTGTTATTCGCCGTTGTTGTCCTGGCAAGAAACTCCTCTCCGTCGCCAGCGCAAACCCTCGCTCCAGGGTATTCCCGCACGCTTCCGACGCACCGGCGACTTCACCGCTCCACTCCCCTACAGTGGCCTGTCGTGCTGATCGCATTTACACATCATTAACTAGGTAGCCTCACCCACGCCTTTGGATACCCTGTCTCTGCTCGTGAGTCCTTGTCTTATCTCCCCCTTCACCGCGTTCGGGCCCTTTGTCCTAGTAGCGCCCAACCTCAACGTCCCTTCCCAAAGCATCCATATGGAACCTGCTTGGGTTACCGTGGTCAAGAAGCCTTTGTACCCCTCTCATGACTCTGCGGTGTTGCACAAGCCAAATTCTTCTCTGCTTCCTGAATTACACCTCGTATAAGACACAACACGCCGCATGCCTTGTCACCACACCTTGATCCTGTCCTCCACCTCCACTTCAAGTCACTAACGCATCGTCGCTATGCCAGAGTACCACACCGTCTACTCTGAACGTGGCCGATTACGATATCTACCCGACCACTTAGACACGCCCAAGAAAACCTACCGCGGCATCTTTGCTGGCCGCAATCGCAGACCGCACCGCATTCACATCGCACACGTCGGTCCTGATCCGACTTTATTTCGCAGCCAGAGGCGCCAGACGACTAGTCAGTCGTACTTCACAGAAAAGCTGGCGGCCCCACGCGACGGCGCTAAACGTTTCCTACGGTCGTTTATCGACACCCA